ATGATTTGGACGCGATCCAACCCCCGTTCTTCTATGACGCTCAACCCCCGTCGGAGATTCTCTTTGTCCCATTGAATAAAGATAAAGCGTACAGCGCAGTGGAATTGATGGATCTCTATGCAGTAAGTTCCTGGTTGTGTGAAACAGCTTTTTGAAACCAGACAATTTCGTCCAAACATTGACATCTGATAGCTTTCAGTCACCTCTTGGCGTCATTCAAAAAGACGATGTAAGACCTATCCAATTCTTGAGTGAAATTTGTTGCAAAAATGATTTCACTATCGTTTATCGCTTAGCTCCATTTCATTTCCCTAAATTCTTTGGGTTTAAATATATCCCTTTGTTCCGGCATCATCAACACTGTTCCTGTTTATTTTATGAGGCGCATTGAATGTCCTCTGTTTCTCTGGTCTGGCTATTCGCACAACGAAATCACTCCTGTCAGTGCGAGACAGAGTTTCAGTAGCTCGGTTTGTATAACCAACATCAAGCCGGAAATTGAACAAAAATTAACTTGCGAACAAAATGAATTGATACTGTATTCCTCAATGCAGTGAAAGTGAACCACTACGAATTTTCTGCTCTCGGATAGTAGGATCCTCATGGAGATCAAGGCTAAAAATCACCAACTTATCACTCTCAAAGCCTGTTGTGTCTCACCAAAACCACCATCGAACCACAATGAGTATCCCAACAATCCCAGTTCAAAGACAGGCTTATGGACAGCTTTCACCACCCTTCGCCGTCTCCAGTGGAGTTCAACAAGGTTGCCCTATATCTCCTTTCCTTTTCAACTTCGCCATAGAGGATGTTCTACAGGACGCTTTTCCGGTCTAGTAGACGGGGAGTCGAACTCCTCCCAGGGAACAGTTCTCGACTTGGAGTATGCCGATGACATCGCCATGTTGAGTGACAATGCACAGGCAGTCCAATAAGCTTTACACCACTTGGCGATAGAGGTATCCAAGTATGGTATGTGCTTTGCATCATCAAAGTGCAAAGTGCTGGTTCAAGACTGCCAGGAGTCTGTGCCTGCACTCACCATCTGTGGTGATCAGCTAGAAGTAGTCGAGAGCTTTAAGTACCTCGGGAGCTTGATCACAGCTGGAGGTGGGGCTGGGGAAGAGATCACATCACGAATAGCGAAAGCTAGAGCAGCTTTCGCCAACCTGCGACGCCTGTGGCGCCGCTATGACATCCGACTGTCCCTTAGGGGAACGGTGTACGCCGCCACTTTATGGCTGCGAAACCTGGACTCTCCGAGTGGAGGATGTTAATCGACTTTCCATATTTGACCATCGATGCCTTAGAAGCATTGCTTGTGTCTGGTGGTTGAGCAATAACGAAATTCGTCCTTATGTGCTGGGTACTGATAGTCGTTCTCTAACGGAAGAAATCGTTCTACACCGCCTCCGATGGCTCAGTCATGTTTTGCGTATGCCTGCCCATCGACTACCTCGCCGAGCTCTCTTTGCACGTGTTGGGCAACGTTGGAAGAAGCTTCGCGGCCGTCAGACCATGACGTGTCGTAGAGGCACGAAGAAGCTGGGTTCAGCATTGGCTTCGGTTGGTGCAGCTCGCCTTCCAGGTTGGGGCCCAAGGGATGAGGGCTACCGATGGCTGGAGACGCTGGGAGATATGGTTCAGAATAGATTTCAGTGGCGCGATTGCTGTGAGGTTTGTTTGGCGAAACCCCGTTCCCCATAACACAAAAAAATCTTCAAAAAGTGTACGGTGAAGCTATGAAAAAATTATTTCATTTATACATTCGTTCTCCGTGTTCTCTTCTCCCCATTTTCATCTAACCTTTCTGTACCCCTCCATAACTTCATAATCATTGTTTTGCATTGGCACCACGCGTGTTCTCAAGCCGGTGTACTACATATATATATATATATATTGACTCCGGGTGACAAATTTTGACTCAGTCAGAAGTTTCGCGGTCCGAGTTCCGTGGCTGTATGTATGCCGGAAATGTGGATAAAGGAGGGATGTTGTGGAAAGGTGAACGCGTGAATTAATGCCAGTTTACGAACGGCTTTTATCTCACCAAGTTTTATTTGATCCGACGGTCTTTGGATCCACCACAGTATCAGAGTACATCAATCATGTATCCGCCATAAGCAATTGAGCTAATTGCTGGACACATTTTCAAGTCGTCTGATCAGAACAGACTGAGCATTCTCTATAGTATGCATGCACCCTACTGTAGTTGTTCTCAGCTCGAACAAATAGTCGTGATCTTGTTTCACTTGAGCACTTTCAGACGGAATGATAAGTGAAGTCAAGAAATACCTTGCGCACTCAAAGTGAATTTGCAGCAATTTTCGTACTAAGGCCGTGGATATAAAACAAAACATAACGATACTATACTGCAAAATTCAGGAAAGGGTCGTTCTTCAGACAATAAGGCACNNGAGGCGCATACCGAAGGGAAAAATCAGGTGGCGGTGGTGGTATTTGAACAAGTCGCCGAGAGATATAAGTTGGTAAATTAATCGCTCAACCACCGCCTCAATACCAGCTGTTTGCTCAAATGTATTCAGTGATCATTCTCCTCAATGGTTTACTTTTCCCTTCTGTTTATCTCTGAGTGTGCGCTTATTTTGTTTCATGAAAAAAAGAAGTTTCTCCTATTTCCAATCTGCTCTATATGTTGGTTTCCTCGTTGCCGGTCGTTCTGCCCATCGCATATTTATGTCCTTCACCAATGACATTTAATCTGCTTATCATGAAATTTGCTTCTTACTTCTATTATCGGCATTGTTTTTCTCTTGCGCTCTCCCCGTTGCAAACAGACGGATTCACATTTGAAACCGTATCTACCCTTAATCCAGGACAAACCTGTCTATCCCGTAATCAGAGACAAGAATGGTGTGGTACTCTCCATGCCACCTATCATAAACGGTATGTGTACCAGTTATTTTTCGTCTCATGATTGATGTTCGGCTATTCATCAACCGATTGAGCAGTCTTTCCCTCGCACTCAAGTCACATGAACATGACAATCAGCAACGTCAACAAGTTTTGTTTTGACTTTTTGACGATTGTATTGTGTTCGCATTTCGTTCTCAGCTGATACGCTTCTGTCAGTCACTACTCATTTTGTTCCCTCATAATCTCATATCTGTTGGCGAGGACCGAAGTGAATGTTCGTTTCCTAAAATTTCACTTACGCTTCACACATTTTCTAATTAAAATGGCATACTGGCGCCTGGGTCCATGATGCAATGAATCCAGTACCATATTATCACACTTTTCGACCTTTTTTGTTCCCTTTGCAGGCGAGCATTCACGTCTTTCGGTGAATACTCGAAACATTTTCATTGAGGCAACGGCAACTGATTTGCACAAAGCCGAAATCGTCCTCGACACATTGGTCACCATGTTCTCCGAATATTGTGACCCACCGTTCACGTGAGTGGNCCCCCCCCCCCGCGCCGAAATCCAATCCCACTTTATCACAAGCTTTTTCAACCGGCCCTCAAGAGATTGAGCTTTTGGTCCAGCTCGAGTAGGAATTAGCCTCCTCAGTGATAGGGCTAAGTTGAGCCTTTGAGACTGGATCTCTACTGATGCTCAACTTTGTTCTTGACAGATCTTGTAATATCAGTTCAAGTAGTCGGGTTATCCCAATGGAAGGATGCATTTTCAGCCTTGTGCCCGTTGAGATATTTCGCCCATGAATGAAATATTAAGCGAGAAATAAAATTATTGAGAGAAAGAGCAAAAATTGTGTTTAGGAAAAACACATTTCCGTTCATTTGAGTGTTCTTCGCGTTTAGTGGATTGACANACTGTATGATGCGTATGATCAAGCACCAGTACCCAATGGATTGTGGTTGTCACACGCCACTCCACTGCTTGCATGTAGCATTTTGGTTAACTTAAGGTTCTGGTTACAGGTCCCCAGAGAAAGTCAGCCTGCTTTGACCTGGGCCACCTGGCAGTATTCCACCCACAAGCAAAGTAATCACTGATTTCTTTGTTATAAAGACCGTTGTTCAGTGACTGGTTTTACCCACGATATGTACTCAGAGTCGTATGAAATATGATAGTCTGCAGTTGTGTGAATATGTAAGACCTTTTACCCGCTCCATGTTACCAAAATACTAATTTCACTTTGTAGGAGCACACATATACGGTCAGTCTGCATCGTGGCCGAAGTAAATCAAGGACCAGTTCTACTGCAAACTCTAATCTCCTTCTTGAATGATTGCTTCTCTGATTTTGTTATTGTAAATTATGGACTGCTACTAGGTGCCATTTTACCTGCTTTTTATATTCGTGAACTACCAAGCACCGCAGACCGTTACACCGGCATGTTTGTAGATGACCTCGCAGTCAGTTCTAACACCAATGAGGATTTCCGGTTCACTCAATCCAGTGTTCTATGTCGTCTTTTTTTATTGGATCGGTCTTCTTTATCGGTGTATGCTTCCATATGCAGTGACATCCTGTTCACATCTGCGAAGGGTCTTGCTCGAGGTTTTTCGTTTGCATTGTAATACTGTTCCAGCTTCTATCGTCAACAATTGGATATTTTTCGCTGAACTTCGGCTTCGCACGTTCAGTGTGATAAAGATAGCAACGACTGGACTGAACTAGTCTCCTTATTGAAATCTCCTAGTGATTGAGTACGGTCAAAGATAGCTACCGAACCATGAGTTCTACTAAAATGCCATCTGGGTTTGTGAAATTCTTCACTCGAAAAGTCCGTTCGCTTACTTGTTGAGCGCGCAAAATTTGATGTGATTTTCATAGTGTTGTTTACTCATTGACTGCAATCATTGGCCGACTTTCAGGTTTGCGACCCATAACCCTGCAGTCTTTCCCGAGTCAGCCCCCGAAAGCGCAAACGCATTGAACTGTGATTTTGAATGGTTGTCCTTTTTCTATTCCATGCCATTCCGAAAAATAAGATTGTGTAATTATCCTATTCCGGTCTAAGTGGATAGAGTTTCTGTCTTGTTGTGGATGCATCAATCGTGCCTTTTCCCTTCGGTTTCTTATCTGCAACACTCACACACTCGGTTCATCTACTCAAATCATCCGTTTTGGTTTTAGTGTTGAACCCGTCGAAGTGTTCCAACACGATGGAAGCCGCCACATATTCCCGGTAAGAAAGTGTGAATGATAGTTTCCCTCGAGGAATGGGACGTGTTGCCTGCTCAACCCTGGAATTTCAATCACGTATTCATTCTCTATTTGAATGCTTATATTGTCTCACTACAGCACTGAACCGACGAGTAACGTTTGAGGTGTGTGTGTGTGTGTGTGTGTGTGTGTGTGTGCAATCGTAATCCCATCGATGCATGATAGTTCAATGATCTGCCCTCTAGTATATTGCACTGATGGCTGTATTGTTTGATCTGCTTGTCCGTCTTCCCTTGACCGGTTTCGTCAGCTCAATATGCTCTTCTTATTTCTGCCAGTTACTTTCATCATGTGATGTTTCATTTGGGCATGCGTATTTTACCAATCTTAGAATTACGTCAATAAAATCGACAAAAATGGAGTC